TCTTGGAGAAGTCTTTGATAAACCTTTTATAGAATCCAGCATGTCCAAGAAAACTTCTTATTCCCTTGACCGAAGTTGGTGGTGGCAACTTTTCAATCACTTCAATTTTTGCCTTGTCTACCTCAATACCCTTGTGTGAAATTTTGTGGCCTAATACAATGCCTTCAGTCACCATGAAGTGACATTTTTCCCAGTTTAAGACCAACTCAGCCTCCTCGCATCTCTTGAGAACTTTTGCTAAATTGCCGAGGCATCGTTCAAAATCATCCCCACAAACAGAAAAACCGTCCATGAAGATCTCCAGAAAAATCCTCAACCATATCTGAAAATATAGCTTGCATACAGTGCTGAAACGTTGCCGGGGCATTACAGAGTCCAAAAGGCATCCTCCTAAAGGCAAAAGTTCCTTAGGGACAAGTAAATGTAGTCTTCTCCTGGTCCTCTGGTGCGATGGCAATTTGATTGTACCCCGAGTACCCATCCAAAAAGCAATAGAATGCTTTGCCGGCCAATCGATCCAACATTTGGTCGATGAAAGGTAGAGGAAAATGGTCCTTCTTCGTAGCTTTGTTGAGTTTTCTATAGTCCATGCATATCCTCCATCCGGTCACAGTGCGAGTGGGTAATAGCTCATTATCCTCATTCGTAACCACCGTCGTGCCTCTTTATTTGGAACGCATTGGACAGGGCTCACCCATGAGCTATTGGAGATAGGGTAGATCACTCCATCATCAAGCCATTTCAGAATTTCTTTCATCACCACTTGCTTCATAACAGAGTTTTATGCCAAACTCAGTTATGTAATGTGTCGAACTCAGTTATGTAAATATGGTTTTATATTAATAAAAGTTTAAAGTTTCGTATAATTTTTTTGGATGTACAAGTTTGGAAAAGTCAATGTGGCACCTCAGACTCGTATTCGGGTCGGGTACGTGTTGGGTGTTACACTTTCACTTGATCGAGTTTACTCAATGCTGGTTGATGTAGAGACACAGCTGGTTGGTTTTGATACACAGCATGAGAGCCTTCCCATGAGTGAAAGTGTGGCTCAAAGGCAGTTACATGGTGGATCTACTCGATCTGGACCTTCTCATGATTTCAAACAACATCCCTCAACGATGCGTGGTGGTCGAGCTTGTGGTAGAGGTCGAGAACGACTTCAATGTCAATTGTGTGGTAAAAATGGTCATTCGGTTGATAGGTGCTGGTACAACTTTGACCGTGACTTTGCAGGATTCCTTTCCACTAGTACTCGATCACAGTATAAGGATGAGTTGAGCAGTGTCAACTATGTTAACCTTGATAATGTTGCTTGTACATGTTATGCCAACAAGACTGGAGCAGATGTTGTGTCTACGTAAACGAGTGTGGCTCCTGCTGCAGCCCTAACTTCATCTCGTGCTCAGTGGATAGTGGACTCAAATGCGACGCATCATGTCACCCCTAATGCCTCCCATATTAATCATCCAACCGATCTTGATGGACCAGGTAATCTTATGGTTGGAAACGGAACTTCTCTTGCAGTTAAATCAGTAGGTCAATATGTTTTAAGGTCATCTTATCAAACTTTTCTCCTTAATGATCTACTGCATGTCCCTAAAATCACTAAACATCTTCTCTCGGTTTCGAAGCTTGCTAAGATAATCACATCTACTTTGAATTTCATGCTGATGGTTGTAGTGTTCGAGATGAAGTAACAAGCAAAGATATTCTTCGAGGGAAGCAGACAGGAGATCTCTATTCTTTTACTTTAGATAGTAGTTGAATGGTTGTAATAAGGCAGAAGCTTATGCAGTACATGATTCTTGTAATTCCTTTGAACTCTGGCATGGGAGATTAGGTCATCCAACTTTTGCTACTTTGAAATTAGTTTATAATTCCATTTCTGTTAACATTCCATTTCTATTAACATTCCAAGTAATGCAAATCAGCTATATGTTGCTTGTTGTTTGGGTAAAAGTCACAAATTGTCATTTGTTGATTTAACAACAGTTTATGATATCCATTTCAACTTGAGTTCACTGACCTTTGGGGGCCTTCACCTAAGCCTTCAGCTGGATTTCACTATTACATCTCCTTTGTAGACACATGTACGAGGCATACATGAGTGTATTTATTGAAAAACAAGTCCCATGCTATTACTGCATTTAGGTTGTTTAAAACAATAGTTCAGACTCAATTCTCATTACCAATCAAAGCAATACAAAGTGATTGGGGTGGTGAATACAAGAACTAGTCAGATGAGTTAGCTTCTGAAGGTGTCTTGTATAGAGTTACTTGTCTCCATTCATCCGAGCAAAATGGGGTTGTTGAACGCAAGCACAGGTACCTAATAGAGTTTGCCCTCGTGCTTTTGGCTCAAGCTTCACTCTCAATCAGGTTCTGGTCTTATGCAGTTACAACAACTGCATACCTGGTAAATAGATTACCAACTAAGGTGATGCACAACGTTTCACCCTTTGAGAAATTATTTTCCAAGAAGCCTGATTATAAAACCATGCGAGTATTTGGTTGTAGATGTTTTCCACATCTGTGAGATTTTCAATCTCATAAGTTGATGCCACGATCTCAATAATGCACTTTTCTGGGCTACAGTCCTCAGCATCAAGGATTTCGATGTCTTGGAACAAATGGTCGGATATTTATTAGTATAAATGTGAAATTTAATGAGCTTGTTTTTCCTTTTGCAGTTGTTAAACAATGTAATTGTCCTCGTGCAGTTACCTCAACATGACCTGCAGCCCTTGAATCATTCTTAGAAGACATGCTGAATCTCCTCCTGATGTGGTTCATTCTCTGGAATCTAGTAGTATGCCTTCTCAGACAAGTCACACTGAGAATGAAGCGAGCCCTGTGAATGTTATGTATGAACCTTCAAATCACTCGACTGGTAGTCCACTACTTAGTACCACTCCAGTGGTCGATACTAGAGAAAGTCCTAAGCCAAATCAATAGTCTCTTGAAGTTGACAGTGTGCCTGATCAAGTACCCTTGGTCAATGCTCATCCTATGGTTACTAGAAGTAAGCATGGTATCTTTAAACTGAAGGTACTCTTTTTTGGGGAATATGTTGTTATTCCTGTTGATATTCATCAGGCTTTACAGTCCACTCAATGGACATCAGCAGTTCATGATGAACTTGCTGCTTTACAACGAAATGGAATATGGTCACTAGTTCTACTACCAACTGGAAGAACAACAGTTGGTTGTAAATGGTTATTCAAATTGAAAAAGAATCTTGATGGCACAATACAACGATACAAAGTAAGGCTTGTTGCCCATGGGTTCTCACTAGTACCTGGACAAGACTTTAAAGAAACTTTCAGCACAATAGTTAAGTTTCCAACCCTTAACGTTATTTTATTTGTTGCAGTAACCAACAACTGGCCACTACGACATGTGGATGTTGACAATGCATTCCTTCATGGTGAGTTGAGTGAGGAAGTATTCATGAAGCAACCACCGGGGTTTGAGAAAGTGACTGAGGATGACACTAAGCTTGTATATAAGTTGTATAAGGCTTTGTACGGGTTGCGTCAAGCTCCCAGGAACTGGAACAACAAATTAAAACAAAGTCTATTGCAGATGGGATTTCGAATGTCAAAGGCAGATGCATCATCGTTTGTCTCACTTGTTCAAGGGGAAGTAACATATGTGCTTGTCTATGTAGATGATATTGTGGTTACTGGGCAATCCACTACTGCAATCGATCGCGTGGTTCTTGCACTCAAATTCAGTTTCTCATTGAATTATCTTGGTGAGTTGCATTATTTCTTAGGAATTGAAGTTCAGTGTAGCAATTATGGTATAATGTTATCTCAAAAGAAGTTCATTTTAGAACTGCTAGCAAAATCTGGCATGTCAAAGGCAACACCTACCAGCACTCCTATGGTAGTCTCTAATAAACTTCAAAAGGAGGCAGGAAAGCTTGTTGATGATGCTAGGGAATTTTGAAGTATGGTTGAAGTGTTACTCTATGCCTGTCACACAAGACCTAACATAGTTTATAGTGTGAACTAGGTTGCACAGTTCATGCATGAACCTCGTGAGAATTATCTATTGGTTGTCAAACGTATCCTACGATATCTAGCTAGCACTATTGAATATGGTTTAATTTTTAAACCGTCAAAGGAAGCAATGAGAGTAACTGCATTTGCAAATACTAATTGGGGTGGCTACATGGATGATCAAAGATCCATGTCTGATCAGTGTGCGCTAGTTGGTGGTAACTTAGTATCCTGGAGTACAAAGAAACAGAAAGTTGTCTCCAGATCCACCATGGAAGCAGAATATCGCAGCCTAGCAGATACGGTTGCAGAAGTTACCTGGATCGATGCATTGTTGAATGATATTGGAGTAATAAGGCAAAAAAGACCAATCATATGGTGTGACAACACAAGTGCGATATCCTTAAGTGTTAATCCTGTTCAACATTCATGATCTAAACATGTAGATTTAGATGTGCATTTTGTCAGAGAAAAGATTGCTGGAAATCAGTTGTTTATTAGCTATGTTCCAGCAGCATATCAGCTTGATGATGGTTTCACAAAGCCACTGTCAAAATTAGCTTTTGCATTATTCCGAGAGAAGGTGTGTGTTTCTCTAGCAAATGAAGGAAGAGAAGAAGAAACATGAGGAATGTTAGATGAATGAAGGTGCAGTTGGTCACGTTGCATGGAATGCATGGAGAAGGTTCAAGAAGGTTGCAGTTAGGTTCATGTGCAAGGAATGTGATGTGCTGCAGATGATCACAACCTCAGGCTGTTAGGAATAGCTCAAGTTGTTAGGAGCAATTATCTTTGTCAATTCTATTAGAAATGTTGCTTCATTGTTCATCAACTCAAAGCTATATAAACAATGTAACCCGTATCAAGTAATATATGAAAAAGAATACAGTAGTTTGTTGAATTTATCTTTACAATTTTTTAACATCGGGCAAGAAGAATCAAGCAAGTACTTAAGAAAATAGGAGAAAGAATGGGATATACAGCAGTATTTACCTGAATAGACTGAACAAATAAAGAGTTAGCTTGTAAAAGGCGTGAGAAATTTGGACCCATTTGTAAAGTCACAGATCCATAAGAACCCAGAATCATTATCATGGATGCTGCAAGGACAAAAAAACTAAGTTAAAAGTTAAGTCTTCTTAGTAAAAAAAAAGGAACAGAGAGAAAGAAAACTAACCCAAAACACAAAATGTGATAAGAACAACGCCGCAAGACCAAACATCATCATTCATAATCCTATCAAAACTTAGCACATCATATATTGATATATTGAGATGATAAGACGCCCAAGAAGAATGTTGTTGCTGTTGCCGCTCCTGGTGAAGCAAGGTTTGACCAGTTCTTTAGCCACCATTACTTTCTTCATCTTCATGGACTTCCAATCTAGGAGGAGGGGGAGGTGAAGGTGCATGTTGACTACGGTCCGATGAATGTTCCATTTTCAAACTTAAAAACATGGTATAAAAACAGAGTAGTAGTAAAGATGAAGAAATAAAGTTAGCCACTAAAAGGAAAAGAATTGGTTTTCTTTCCCCTTTTTTGTGCTATTTTCCCACTTTTTGAGTGACTTAAAAGATTGAGGAATTTGAAGTAGCAGAGATGGATGATTATGATTGAAGTTGCCATTGGTCCTTTGTTGTTCCATGCGGACGTAGGAATGGCAGTTGATGAATGGCAGGTAGGCAGTTGAAAGCCTAGCTTTGTAGTGCTGCCGACCAGTACATGTTTTTCTTTATTGCCTATTTTACGTATTGTTTATAGGTTTTTATAATGGAGAATAATTTCCTTGTGTGTGTATGTTTTTAAAGATGTAGTTTTGTTTTTACTTATTAAAAAGCTCACGACAATTTGTTAGTTTTTTTCTTTCACAAATAAGTAGGTGAATTCCTTGATAAGTTTTTCTTTTGCAAATGCTGATCCCGGCACCAATGGCTCACAGTTTTTCATTACAACTGCGACGACAAACTGGTAGGTATAGATTTACGATTGCAACTAATAAAGAGGATATAGTTATAACATTTGTTAGTTTTTTTCTTTTACAAACTGAATGGAAATTGCGAAAAATTAGTTATACATTGGTTATACGAAAAAATGCAAACAGAGAAAATACCTCGTATAAGTCTGTCTGCCGGCAAGATTAGAAGGGACAAGGAAGTCCCGCAGCTATAAAATAAAACAAACACACACAAAATGTTAAGCACAACCACCATCAGCTTAACATTAACCTTAAATGTGAAAACATGGTCCCATTAGAGTTCAGTTCACAAATGACTAAGAATAAAACAGAGGACAGCTTGACTCGTAAAACCTTAAACAACACCTGAAACTGGAACTTCTTATTGAACAAAACAAACATGCTGACTAACAAGACAAAATATTGAACCTTAAATTCAAAAGATGAAAGCTGAAGGTTTTCCGGATAATTACTCGAATTTAGTTCAAGAGCGCCGGCTTTCCACCTTCCCGTTCCCGGTCCTTTTGCGTTGATCAACAGTGTCCAAGAAATTGACCGACAAATTTAAGTAAATCTCGATAACCTTTGAGATATTCCCGTTGATCTCCCGTATCAAACCGACGTTCTTAACGAGATTGTCGGGAATCTTTGACTGGTGATTCTCGTTCACTCTCTGGATGAGTTCCCGGTTCTGATTCAATACGGCCTGCGCCTTCTTAAAGCTGTTGCTTAGCGTGTCCCAGACCTCCACGTCACTCTCCTCACCATCCGTTTCATCTTCATCTCCGCCACTGGTTCCGTTCGGCTTCTCGAATCCGATGTCGAAACGCTTGTTTTTGTTCCTGCAGGTGTCGGCCATGGCAGCCTTCACCAAAAATGAAGCTTCAACCCGTTGTTTATTTTTTATATTAGCAACATTTTTTCCTTTTTCCTTGTTTCTCAGTTACTTAGGGTTTGAAAGCAACCAACCAGAAATGGCGGTTATGTCTGTGATGGGAATGAATGACGGTCCAGTTATTTGGCTACAGAGTAGAGTTGACTGTTTCATGAGGAAATACGATTTGATTTGTGAATGAGGAGAGTTGTCATGGAGGATGTGAATTTTACAACGTGTGTATTCGTCGTGCATATACTTTGTTTGTTGAGATATTTTACAATCTCAAAAAAGAATAATTAAAATATAAATATCTGCCAACAACCTAGCCAGGAAGAAAAAAGTTTTAGGAAAAATGGGTCCGGATGCACGTGAACTACACTTTCACTTGAACGCGCGTGGATATCAACTACCCGACTGCTAATGTTGACGTGAACTGATTTCGTTATACGAAAGAAGTCTAACGTTGCTACGTTGAATTCTTTGCATAAACTTTAAAGTCTTATTGAAAATGAAGTACTATTAATTAAGTGTTTTTATATAAAATTGTATTTAACTGAATTCTTAGTAAACATAATAATTAAATGTTTAGTCAATAATTTTTATTAACTAATTTGACAGGAAGTCTGAAACTCATCATCTGTTCTATACTTGAACTTCCTTCTTTGCATCTCATCCATGACTCTCTGCAAATAATAAAAAAAAGGACCAGTTTAACGAAAGAAACAGAACTGAAAAGGTCTCACAAGGATATGTATCACGACGAGGCCCGGGGCCAATCAAATGGTGATGGGTCGTGACGTAACTTGTAGGGAAAATGGAGACTCGTCAACGAAACAGTACCTAAATGTCACAGCTCAAACAACTTCAGGCCATCAAAATTTCCAGAAAGGATTGAATCAACAAAATTGTAACAATTCTGATAAAAAAAAAAGGCTGCCCACCAAAGCAGCATCACGAACACCCAAGCTATGGCCTACGAACACGTCTTTAAAAACTTTACCCGCGGTAGCAGATGGTAAAACCCGCTTTCTTTTAATCCCGCGAGTGTTACTGTTACCGTCCCGTTTTTTTCAAGAGTACGGATTAATGCTCGGATATTGAAGACACCAAATTTTGTACTATGCTATTATATAATATACTTACATCATATATTATATTATATAATATATCTTTTTATTACATATGTCGTACACGTGTTTACATATATATTTGTTTGCAGTCTGTCAGGCCCAAGACTAAATCACATGTGGCCCAGCAAATGCAACACGTCCAACAGCAGTGGGCCAGACCGGTGAACTAGGGTTTGGAAACCCTAGTTTCCTATCTACTCACCTCTGCACCGTTTCTCACCCCCAGCGCCGCAACAAAAAGACCCGTCCCAACCGAGGACTCCTCGCCACGCAGCCGCGTTTGACGCCGATTCTCTCGGTACCAACGTTCCTTCGTCAACATCAAACACCTCAAGTCAAACCATATCAACCAAAAACCGAGTGTTTCACTCGGAAGCAATATCTCTAAAAATAGGTTTTCTTTTGTATTATAAATAATAAGCTTGTAAACATCGAATGGGGGGAGCATTTACACACACAAAAATACTCAAATACGCAAGAAATCTTGTAACATTCGAAGCAAAAGAAATAAAAAAGGTATCTTTTACCTCGATTCAGTGTCTTGGCTCTTTGCATGTGGCTTTTACCATTCCGTTTTTGCGTTTAACTTCGAAAAGCCGATGACCGGAGGGGAAAAGTTTCGAAATCTATTCTTAGATTTATCCCCTGAGGCTTGTGTTTTTTAAAAACTATTTATATTTTTGGAACGAGGAGGTCAAGGGCTTTCAAATGAGGTAAAAACGTTGGGGGTTTGCCGCCGATGAACGGCGGCCGACGAGGCGGCGCAACGGCCGGATACTGGGAACTGTGGCGGTGTTCATCAAGAACACGATGAACACGCAAGAACAGATGAGAGAAAAATGGAAAATGGTTTTTGATCTGTTTGGGTTCAAATGGAAAAATGAAAGCTTGTTTTTGAGAGTTAGCTTTATACTCGGCCCAATAAATATTCAGGGTCTGCGTGTTGACCCGACCCAGGGGTTAGATCTGCGCGTTTCTGTTGTAAAATGGCTAAACTACATTTTTAGTCCTTGTTAATTCTTGAAAGCTTAATTTAAACTCCAAATCTGATTTTAAACCCAGTTTTCTTTTGAATTCGGCCTCCTATTTATGGTTCTTTCAATTTAATCCCTACTATTATTACTATATTTTTGTGATTATTATTTTATATTTTGTGTAATTATATATATATATATATACCTATATTTTTCTATTTTCTATATCTTTTTTGTTCATCCTTTTATTCTTTCTTTTTTTTGGTTTTTTATTTATTACTATATATATTATTATTATTTTATTTCACATGTTTTATTTTGTTTTCATCTTCATTTTTTTATTTTCTTATTTTATTCTTTCCATCTTTTTAACATTTTTATGCATATCCATCTTTATCTAGTTATTTATTATTTTATTTCATGTTTCTATTTATTATTCTTTATCATGCACGTGTATGTTGTCAAGATTATCTATATTTTCTTTATTTATTTATTTATTACTTTTATTTTATTTTATTTATTTTATCCATCTTTCTTTTTTATCTTAACACTTTCACCTTTTAAGGGTATTTTCGTAAATTTGTCAGAGGTAAGTAAGTTGGATCGTTATTTTACCTTTTAAGTTAAGCTTACAATTTTCCTACTTAATGACAACTGGAAACTACATAGTACCGAAAGGGCAGTTCAAAGGTGCTAACCCTTCCTTGACTGTAACCGACTCCCGAATCTGACACATCTTTGATAAGACGCAGATCATGTAAGTGAGTCAGACTAAGGTAATTTCCAGTTGTCTTTTTAACGAAAAGGGTAAGTTTAAATTGTAAGGTAACATTTCGATCCTTATTGTTTACTTTTGATTATATTTTCGAGTAAATAGTTATACTAACTGTTTTCTAATGATTTTAGCCCTTCAAAGCTTGTTTTTCACTTGAGGCTCTAAACCTGAGCTCCGAACCCTATTTAAGTAGGGGTGAAAGCGACGTATTCGTGTGAATTTATTCACCATATATGCCTAGCAAGTAGCCTTCGGGATTCATATACCTTATGTCTTCGTGTGAATTTATTCACCACATAGACATAAGAGAATGTATCCCCTCGAGTTTAACTTAGTCCACATGAGCTTGTAATGGGCTTAGGATTAAGGGTCTGGCAAGCCCAAGGGGGCACCAGCAAGGAGAACTCGGGTACCTGTTTAGAACCTAAACCGGGAGACTACAATGAGTTAGAGCCTACCCTAAAACCCCATTTCAAAACCTTAGGATATTTTTACCTTAACCATGATGTTTGCCTTTTTTTATTTTTACCTTTTTCTTTCATTACTATTTTTCTTATTTTACTAACATTTTTGTTTTCATGTTTTTTTATCATTTGTATCATTTGAAAGAGGTGTTGATCCACCAAAAACGTGTTCGTTAAACATGAATAATCTGAATTAATGGACAAAGGGGTTGTAATACAAGAGACGAAAATGCAGAGGACAGTCTACAAGACGACTATGTGTCACATTCAATCCAAAAGACGTGGTGCCCACAATTGAAGAGTCTACCACTATGTTGCGTTATAAAGAACTCAAAATGAATCGAGTCTACACCAAGCACAATGAAAGTCTATATTTGAAGAACTGACTGGAAGAGGTTGCAGGGGCAAGATGAAGGTTACTAATTTTGGGAGACCATTCAAAGAAAACAATGGCAAAACTATAGCTGAAATTGGAGATCATTGCTGACGAATTCAAGGAAAAGACGAACGAGCTTCACATAGTTCCTATCAACTGAGGGCTCCAATTCGTTAGGAAAGGGTTCAACAGAAGATGAATGCCAGAGAAGCAGTCATTCGGGACTTCTTGGGCCAGTGCAAAAAGCAACTCAACATTTGTACGGTTCATCCAGAGAAGCCGGAGCAGTTCGACAGGTTATTCAACCGGTGACAAAAGAAGGCGGAAGACTAGTCAACATGTCAGAAGCTGTCAGGATATTTTTTTCTCTTAAAAGATAAACACTTTTGTCCCCAATAAAGATTATTCATAATAACAGAAACATTTTTTGGATCAGTGCCTCGGATATTTCATGCATCATGCATTCTTGCATATTATGCATTATTTTTATCTTCTTTCTCATTTCTCATTTCTAAAACGAGATGTCTCATAAAGGGAACAAACAAGTTTTGAACGCACATTGAAGATTACCTGAAGCATGTTTGAAGATCCACAACGATGAATGAGATACTAGCGCATGTCAGTAAGATCGAGAAAATTCAATAGCAACTCATGAAAACCCAATGAGAGATGATTGATCAAACAAGAAGATTTCATAATGAATCCAGAGAACAGATGACCAAGTTGATGGATATGATAAATATTGTGATCCATGGAGAGAAGCCACTAGTGGATCCTATGAATGCTAGTATTGAAGCTGAAACGACAATGACCATAGGACCTGTTAAAGAGCCAGATATTTCAGGTCTGCCCCAAAAACCAAATGTGGTTATGAAATATACCCCTAGGCTAACCATAGAGAAGGAGCTTTCCCTTGTGAGAGACAAGTTTCACTCAAAGAAGAGGATCACAGAATATGACCGAATGTTGACCAAGAAAGCCAAGAATGATCAACCTCTCATAATTAGAGGTTCTACCCCTTTTCAATCATCAAGATAGGACACTCAAGTTCTATCTATGAAGTCATTACCCAGTAGTCTCTCGTCATGGGGACTAAATGAGAAGAAAAACAAAGTGCAGGGTTTTCAGTTCCCTCCCTTTCACTTTTCACTTGAAAAATTACGTTCAGAAATGCTCTCAGTCGGATTGATTTCACCGGGATATATCCAGCCACAGTAGCCCCCGAATGAGAAATCGACCTACAAGGAGATTCCTTGGGTAAACCAAGATGGAACCCTAGCTTGTTCAGCTAAGGTTCCTGGAAACTTTGAGGATCCTTTAGAACA